AGGCACATTCCTTAATTTTGTTCTTGCCAAGTGCAAAAACACACCTTTCATCTGGGCCAAATACGTACAAATATTTCTCTGCCGAATGGGCATGACATGTTAAATGTTAGTGCTTAGAAAAATGCTGTCTAGACGTTCATGGGTTCATCTGTTACAGAAGGAGCAGTCATTGTGGCTAAGCCATCGGCAAAAAGTGGCTTCTGTCGTATATTAAAAATAGACAGCATTTTTTCTTGAACAGCGGATCCTTTCACAAGTAAGGATACTAACCCAGTCGTAGTGGACTGACAACGTTAATGGCCCTCATTAGTGAGTTCAGAAAAGCTGCTACCAAATCATTCGGAAAACTAGGCCTAGTCCTTTCCCAGTGTAACTTTGAAATATCAAACACGACGTTTATTTAAATATTTCCAATAATTTGAAGTAAATTTGTTTGCTATAGATATTCAAAATGAAAATGATTTTTCTGTCGCAAATAATATAGTTGTTGAAATTGTTTTTGTTCTTTTTTAATTTTTTTCGTTTTTTTTTAACGCTGCGTTTGAAGTTACCCTACAGTATTTGAACGAATTCTAATAATAACCATGGCATGGTCCATGTATTTTACAAAACATTAGTTGATAGCATATTCTCATAATTTTAAAACAATTTTCATATCAAGATGTGTTTTGCTAGAAGGCCGATATTTGATAACAGAGAACAATTCAAAATAAATGAAAAATATATTACAATGTTATCTATCTATCTATCTATCTATCTATCTATCTATCTATCTATCTATCTATCTATCTATCTATCTATCTATCTATCTATCTATCTATCTATCTATCTATCTATCTATCTATCTATCTATCTGCCTACCTACCAACATATCTAATATCTATCTACATATTTGTCTATTTATTTATTTTCGTACAGAAAAAAAATGTCTATTTATGTCACTTTTCTATATCTTATCTCCAGAAGATGATATTGAGGTAAATTATTTTTTTCTTGGCAAGAAAAACATTTGAAACTTTTCAAATGCACCACTACCATTCTTGTGTAAATATACGAATTCTAAGTGTATGAAATTGTAGTTTAGACAAACACGATCAAACGCAACTTTCCCTTTTAATTTGTAATGTATATCACGTTCTTATGTTGGCAAGTACATTATACATTACAATTGCATATATATATATATATATATATATATATATATATATATATATATATATATATATATATATATATATATATTGTATCAATCTTCAAAATGGCTACCGTAGGAAATGACGTCAGATGAACATCTGTGGAATATTGTATTGGTGAATTTTTGGAAATTTGTCAAAACAAAGCCTATTTTTTATAATAACCGAAACTCGAATTATCAATTGTTTTAACTTATTTTCAAGCAGAATTTGGGGGGCAGACTAGAACGGCATATTCTTAAGAGTAGAAATGTCCTGCCCAAGATAATTTCAATTACCCATATTCGGGACAGTACATGTGACTATATCTAATTCGACGTAAATCATAGCATAAAAAGCATAGTTGATAAATGGCCATATGGTTATATTTTTCGAATGACCTCACTTGCATATATATCTATGTTATCTTTTTGCCATTTTGCCTTGCGGGAGGGGGAGGGGAACAGAAATCAGTTTTGTATCAGGTGTATGTGTTGGTGTGAACAGGATCATCCCGAAAATTCCTCCCTTAGATTTCATTTTATAAAACTTGTATCTTTTTATGCTCTTGTCAGACATCACTAACTTCTTAACTTATAAAATTGTTACTTACCAACTATCAAAGATATAAATCCATAGGGTAAAAAGAAAAAACAAACAAACAAACAAGTTCACGTAAAATCCGTATGAATTAAGCACTGTTATCCTTGGATTCCTCGTAAACTTAACACATCATATATCCTCTGTTGTTTTACACCTACAAATTCAGTTTAAGTGATTAATCATCGGACGTCAGACGTAAATGACCTTTAGAATACCTTCTGATTCGCCGATTCGTTATATTATGAATATCGTTATGTCACAAATGGGTAATAAGGAACGGCTGTTTCCTGTCTTAAATGAATGGCGACATTATACAAATCCAGTCTAGTTAATACCAACAAAATGGAGATTTTCATATTCATATTGTGTTTAATTTTAGTCAATTTTTTGTATTTATATTTTCTAATGTAGTATATTTTGGTCTTTAAATTCGTGCAGACAGATATAGTTTAATGTGTGCAAGCAATGACATAACTAATACATGTTTTTCATTGTTTAATTTAGTTTGATATTCCGTTACTGAAATATACATATTTCACTTTGAAGTTTAGGAAATATCACTTGTGTGTTTGTATGTGAACTTTATGTTAACAAGTTAAGCAAGAGAAAAGAAAGATAACCTATTTTTATTGTCTCTGTGTAATTTGTTTTAAAAGTATTTTTGTTGTAAATTAAGAAATGCAAAAAAGTGCAAAGTAAATGAAGAGATGATCCTGACCAGAAATTTCGCCTGAAAATTTTATAGCAAAAACTTTTAAAAAATCTCAATTGATTATTTTGTTGTTATTTATTTTGAAATATTTTATGAGCATGGTATGCAAGCTCTTACAGGTGCAAACATAGGGGCGGGGTTCAAAGGTGGAAAAGAGGATTGTGAGAAAATAACTCGCCTTTTGACAAGTCTGTATGTATGAGCTAGACCAGATAGATTTATTCTTGAGTCGGTATGAGCTTGAAATAGGTCTGTATATAAGTCGGTACGAGCTTGAGATTTGACAAATCTGTATACGAGTCGATATCAGTCTGAGATTTGAAAGATATGTGTAGGAGTCGATATCAGCACAATTATGTGCGTGTGTTTGTTATCAGAATTTACTTAGCGATTTGAGCGCATGTTAGAATCGCTTAATCATCCGGATTCATTTTTGTCTTGTGTGTTTGACAGATCTGTGTATGAATCGATATGAGCAATGTTCAGGTCTTTATGAATCGGTAAGAACTCTCTCTCTCTCTCTCTCTCTCTATATATATATATATATATATATATATATATATATATATATATATATATATATATATATATATATATATATATATATATATATATATATATATATATAGGAGTCGGTACTAATTCTAGATATTATGGGTCTGTATACAAATCGGTATTAATTCTAGATCAGATGAGTCTGTATTCTAGTCGGTATTAATTCTAGATATGATGGGTCTGTATACGAGTCGGTATTAATTCTAGATCTGATTGGTCCGTATATGAGTCGGCATTAATTCTAGATATGATAGGTTCTTATATGAGTCGGTATTAATTCTAGATATGATAGGTCTGTATATGAGTCGGTATTAATTCTAGTTCTAATAGGTCTGTATATGAGTCGGTTTTAAGTCTAGATACGAGTGGGTACGAACTCTAGATTTGACATGGCTGTTAAGAGTCGATATGTGGTCTTGATTTGATAGGTCTGAAGTTGTGTCTGTATTTGCCCCATATAGGATAGTCTTTTCATTTTTTCATGTTCACTTTGCTCTTAGTACTTGTATACCTGGCTGCCTTGTCTCCTTGATTGTTGATGGCAGGTAAGATCCACCTTTCCTTTTTAAAACTTTTTCTTCCCTTCTATGATTCATATTTTGTGGTTTTTAGTTTGCTCTGTATTCTCTCTCTCTCTTTCTTCCGACATTTATCGTCTTGGCAATAAGTTTTCCATTTTCTGCTGTAATGTTTCATCCAAGAGAATCATCTTCATCGAGTCCTTTTTTTTTCTTTCTTTGAGCAGATATTTTACCCGATTCGATATTCTTGTCGTTCCATTTTTTCGACCTTTTCGTCTATTCAATTTGCTGTGTTGTCTTGTTGAGGCTCTTTTATCCTGTAGTTTTGTTTTGTGAGTGTGGCAGATTTTCCTCTACCTCTTGTTGAGGCTCTTTAATCCTGTAGTTTTGTTTGTGAGTGTGGCAGATTTTCCTCTACCTCTTATTGAGGCTCTTTTATCCTGTAGTTTTGTTTTGTGAGTGTGGCAGATTTTCCTCTACCTCTTGTTGAGGCTCTTTAATCCTGTAGTTTTGTTTTGTGATTGTGACAGACTTTCCTCTACCTCTTGTTGAGGCTCTTTTATCCTGTAGTTTTGTTTTGTGAGTGTGGCAGATTTTCCTCTACCTCCACCATGTTTTTTATTAATAAAACCAAATTAAAATGCTGACAAATTTCTGGTTGGAAGCTATTTATAGTATATTCCTCTGCATGTGGTATGTCAAGCCTTGTGTCGGAGTTTAAATGATAGGGTTACATGTATGTAAAACACATTCTTTAGCACATATATATTGTATTGCAACTCATTGTGGTTTTTTTGTCGCCTTTTTGTTATTGTTATGTTTGTTATTGTTATGTGTTCTTTAAACAACGCTTTTCGATATCTCAGGTGAATATTGTACTCACGTCATTTTACGAACAATGGGTATTACAGAGTCGATCACACCGTACAAGATTACGAAAGTGCAATTTTTCATTATATGTAAAATGATTTCTAAAATAAAAATTTAAAAAAACTGGTGTAATATTCCAAGGTAAAAACGACAAAAACAATCATGCCTACGATAAAAACGGTATATACTGGCCATATAGCTATATTTTATATCGTAATGACCAATCTACTGTCTCAGTGTTTACAGAATCAATCACTGCCAGTCGTGCATGCTGGAAGTGAGTAATGCTTACATGACGTCGTCAGAGAGAGAGAGAGAGAGAGAGAGAGAGAGAGAGAGAGAGAGAGAGAGAGAGAGAGAGAGAGAGAGATTTAACGTAGCTTTAACAATTTTTACTGATATCGCTACGATGTCTGCTGTGTAACAATTTATTGTGATGTCTAGCACTGGGGCATCATGCAGTCACATTATCCTGACAGCATGCTAACCAGTCAAAAAACTAACCTTTTAATGCTGAGCGCCTTGCGAGGCAGCTGTTAGTACCATTTTTTAAAAAGTCTTTAGTAGGACTCAGCCGGGTTTCAAACCAACGACCTACCGCATCCGAGGCGGACGCTCTAACCACTAGGCTACCGGAGCGGTGTGTGTATTCGTGTGTGTGTGTATGTATGTATGTATGTATGTATGTATGTATGTATGTATGTATGTATGTATGTATGTATGTATGTATGTATGTATGTATGTATGTATGTATGTATGTATGTATGTATGTATGTATGTATGTATGTATGTATGTATGTGTGTGTGTGTGTGAGAGAGAGAGAGAGAGAGAGAGAGAGAGAGAGAGAGAGAGAGAGAGAGAGAGAGAGAGAGAGAGAGAGAGAGAGAGAGAAAGAGAGATGATATTTCTATTAAATGATGTTTGTACAAATGCGATATCTGATATTAGGTGCCACTAAGACAGAAATTAGTTTTCCACGTGGAAAAGTTTTTGTCTTACAGGAACACATTCATCCGACGATCAAGGCCAGCGTAGGGATATTATACAGCATATATACAAGTGTGCCAAAGATGCTTCGCTTCATACAGGACGGCAGAGTGGTACATTACAATATGCTTTATGATTAGCATAACAATTACTATGTATTTTATTTAGTTTGTTTGATTACCAATGTTTTATGCATAACCAAAAATGTCTGATGTATTTTATTTAGCCTGTTTGATAATCAGTAGGTTTGATGCTTAGCGCAAACATTTAACGCATTTTATTTTTTTTTGTTTGATTAGCAATATACTTTATGCTTCGCCAAAAAGTCTGATTTATTTTATTTAGTCTGTTTGATAACCAATAGGCTTGTTGCTTAACGCAAAATTATAATGTCTTTATTTAGTCTGTTTGATTACCAATATGCTCTATGCTTAGGCCAAAATGTCTGATGTATTTTATTTAGTCTGTTTGATAACTAACAGGGTTGATGCTTAACACAAAAGTACAATGTCTTTTATTTTGCCTTTTTGATTACTAATATGCTTTATACTTAACACAAAAGTGTAATATACTTTTATTTAGCATGTTTGATGACTCAAATGATTTTGGCAATGGATAATTTAGACGTCGGAAACGAAAATCTCTCACAACATCGAGGATAAATAATATAAAATTTTATCAGAAATGACATGATCTCTCAAACGCCATTACTCTGTGGACTCTCAGACTAAATGTATCCCAGACTGCAAGGTTATATATACGTATGGTCTACCGACCACCATTGTCTTGGCCAAAGATTTACCAGAAAAATATTTATTTTGACAGTCAATGATGGATATCCTGAACAGTTGGCCTTTCATATCTGGGAGTTTCTCGTTTTGTAAAATATGTAGCTTTTTTTATTTAGATGGGGTGGGGTTGTTTTATGGTTTGGTTTTGCTGTTCTAATAATAGAAATTAGATGACAGAGACATTCCTTCCAATTCGAAACAAGTTATTTATATAGTATTAATGACTATTAATATAATAAAAAATATATATTCCTTTTGCGTATGTCATCATACAAATAGCCACATTACTGCTGTAGAAAAATACATTGTAGAATTGATTAAAGATCAAAGCTTTCAAACAATAAACTATGGTAAATGTTTGTGCGACGAAAATTGTTACCTCAAAGTCTTGAAAACATTTACCATCTTTTCAGGAACGATCATTGTTCATACAGTTACTTCTCATTTTTAAAAAGACGAACATTTCCAAGCAGTAATTTTTCTTTACGAAGAGAACTAATATGAATTTAAATATTTTTGTACAGTCGAATTAGACTGCCCGTCTTCCTTACGTTTAAACTATTTATATATTACGTTGAATGATATAAATTATATCACTGGATAGAGGCTTGAAACTCACATTCGACTTTTGTATCCAACATTATTTATAACGCAAAACATTCAAGATAGCAAATTATACGTAAAAATTAATGTGGAATTTATTCAGTTCGAATTCCTTTCAACCTGGTCTTAACGATTTAGCTCACAAAAATGATTTTGAAAAAACGGATTTCTCCGCATGTGTTGCGGAAATTGTCTTTGGTTTCTAGGATATGCGGCCAAGAAATGTTTTTAATAATTATGGAGGAGCATGGCTAAAGCGATCGAATAAATATTTGACAACTTCTTTGCGTAGACTGAAATATTTCATTCTGCTGATTCATGAGCAAAACTGTTTTTTTTTTCATAAAGATCTGGCTTAATAATGCCATGAAAGTAATTTCCGATAAATCTGAAAATATCAGAATGAATCGTGCTCGCAGCTTCTCAGAAACAGCTGCTTGCCAGTAAAACTAGAATGTTTATATTTTCCATGCTAACAAGCGGATATATCGGGGGTGGGGTTTACTGGTAGCGGAGAGGTCTAAATAGCTCACTGCCATCTCACCACTCTCCAGCGAAGGTTCTAGTCTCGGGTTAGACCAATGTGGTTATGAGAGAAAGCTTGCCAGTTGCTTCACTTGGGTCCGTGGTACCACTAGAGATTCCCAGGGTACTTCCTCCACCAGATGTACTGCTGGTCGCTATATATAACCTATCGTGTATAAGCCCACAACCACCACCACTACACACAAGGATGGATTCGATGACAAACTCGATAACTATCAAAAAGATCTTTTCGTAATATTAGCACAAAACCTTATATTTTTTTTTGTTATCTACACTACTAGTGTTTGGCATACGTTACAGTGATTTATTACATACTGAATATGTCTACGGATGACGGAACAGACAATGAAAGTATACGTGTCCTTGCTAAAATTTGCAGATCATATGGATAGGAACATATTTATTAATGCAATATAATGCATATGACATTTAACAGACTTCTCTCCTAAAGTAAAAATAACAAATCTAAATCCAAGCAAACTTTTGTGGGTGATATTCATGGGCAATATGCAGCTTCCTCCAGGGCGCGAGCTGATGGTGATACCGATTTTTCAATGTACCAACGATATAACTGTCATCGGTTGAATCTAGCTCGCAGACCAGATGCTGCCCGTGGCTGTAGGTTAAACATGCCTGCACTAGATCTTTAATTATCCATCAAGTTTATTCAGTAAGGGGGGTGGGAGAATCCGGGTCTTTGAGAATCATCGCCGCCCCTGGCACCATTGACAATTAGTATGTCACTGAGTTCATCCTCCTCCTACTAATTGCGCTTTCAGAATTGAGGTAAATCATATTCGCTGAGGTAATTGAGGTAAATCATGTTCGTTGAGGTAACCGAGGTCAGTCCTATTCGCTGATGTAATTGAGGTCAGTCATATTCATTGATGTAATTGAGGTAAATAATATTCGCTGAGGTAATTGAGGTAAATCATGTTCGTTGAGGTAACCGAGGTCAGTCCTATTCGCTGATGTAATTGAGGTCAGTCATATTCATTGATGAGGTAAATCATATTCGCTGAGGTAACTGAGGTAAATCATGTTCGTTGAGGTAACCGAGGTCAGTCTTATTCGCTGATGTAATTGAGGTCAGTCATATTCATTGATGTAATTGAGGTAAATCATATTCGCTGAGGTAATTGAGGTAAATCATGTTCGTTGAGGTAACCGAGGTCAGTCCTATTCGCTGATGTAATTGAGGTCAGTCATATTCATTGATGAGGTAAATCATATTCGCTGAGGTAATTGAGGTAAATCATGTTCGTTGAGGTAACCGAGGTCAGTCCTATTCGCTGATGTAATTGAGGTCAGTCATATTCATTGATGAGGTAAATCATATTCGCTGAGGTAATTGAGGTAAATCATGTTCGTTGAGGTAAATGAGGTTAGTCCTATTCGCTGATGTAATTGAGGTCAGTCATATTCGCTGAGGTAATTGATGCCAATCATATTTGCTGCGTACTTAGTACGAGCTAATATTCAATGAATTCAAGTGTGGATGTGTCAGATTTAAAATGCGTCGCTTAGTCAGGACAAGACAGAAAAGTATCAAAGAAAAGACGTTGCATAATGAAATTTTACATGGATCACGAGTGTCTAAAGGGGTGGGATGCGGTAGTAGTAATGGTTAATATTAATTTGTTTCCTGAAAATATTTATAATTGATTCCTACCGATATAATTCGACGTTCCTTTTAATTTTTACATTGTTCTTTTTACTCTGAAAATAATAGTCAATGTTCTGTTCTATGGAAATGAATGTTCATTCTCCATTGTTCTCTTGTTCCCTGAACGCCTTGGAGGGCCTCTCCTTCAGATGCTAATATTTGAAGATTGTTCTCTTGACAGTTATGAGTTTACAGGTGACACCAAAGAGAAGTGCCATCAAACGTTCTGCCTGTAAGATCAAACACGTCGTTAAATATAGGGAAAAAACTTTCACGACAAAGACTGAAGGGGATTATTCTATGGATGCAATCATATTGTTATTTTATATCATCGACTAAATCAGAACTATTGTCATATGAACAAACTTAACATAATGATATGGAAATCAATGCTTTTGAGCTTGTACATGAATGAATAATTGTGATACACCAGGAAATGGTCATGCTTAATTGATTATTATTCTTCAAGAAATTTTTAACCCTTTAAATTATATGTGATAATTATCTTTTTAACATGTTCCTTCTTTTAAATTTCCAAACTTACTATTGGAATGAGTTAGAATTACTCAAACTTTGAAGAGTATAAAATATCTATACATATGCTAATCTTTCGATATTTCGAATTGCTTCCGTCAAATACGTCACACAGTATTTCCAATTAATTTTATTAATTTGATATGCGACATTTAGGTAATAGACATGGACAGCTGGACAGACCATGTTCGTTCATATTGTACCAATATAACTGTAATCTATAGCCTTGCCTTCTTAGATACAGAACATACCATTCTACAAATTTATAATGAATTCAATATAACAAAACGGATGGGCAGCAGTAGTGTCTTCTGTTTCGAGGAAATGGGAAATGGAAAGCCCATCACAGGCTGGCAAATTGCAAAGATCGGCGACAAAATCGTTTACGTAGATACAAGTCTGAAAACGCATTCTGTTCACGTATTTTGTTCTATGGTTCTGATATTGAGCACAAGAACCCACGATTTTGTAAAACTGGGCGATTATTCCAAGCTAACAAGTCTTGTTTCTT